CTAATTGTAATATCTAGTGTATCATATAACAATTTAAACATTTATAATTAAAATGATTCAACAAAAAAAAAACTAAAAAACCCTTAAATGTTAAAATGCAATTTCTTCAAGCTTTATTTGCCATGCTTAGAATAAAATCAGGAGATTTGGAAGTTTGAATACAGTACCTTATATATTAATGAATCAGGTTCATTATATTTACAGGCATTATCAAACATCTGAACACAATCAGCAACCATATCTTCTAATGAATCATAACAATGTGTAACTAGTTTCTGTTGTATTCTTTGTAAGTCTACTGGCTTCTTAATTACTTCATAATAATCAGGATATTCCTAATACCAAAAAAGATAGCTTACCAGACAAGGTAAACAAAACGTGTAACATGAACTTTGTGAAATTCATTGCTAGATTAAATATTCATCTCATTTCATAAATTTCATATATATAACCACCTGTTTAAGATTCTCTATCTATAGCTTGACATAGACCTCCACTGACTTTTTATATTTAAAAATTTAAACAAGTTATATTTCATTTTGCAAAAAAAACCCACCCTACCCTTGAAATTTGTAGTTTGGGAATGAAGTTGAGGAAAACTTCAATTTATTGCCAAAACTTACAGCTTTTAATGGTAATTTAATAAATGGTGTAGCCAATTCACGACCAGATTTATCACTAGCATTTCTAACTGTATCATATAATTCTTGTAATTTCTCATCTAGTGGAGAAAATGATCTGTTCTTTTTCCTACAACAAATACCAAATATTTCAACTGTTTTCACTTTCTGAATTATAATAATCTAATAGTAGTAAACTTTCTACCCTAGCTCACTACCAACCTTTCCTTTTTAGTTCAATTTCACAGCTTTAGAAAACTGTTAAGTGATATGATTTGATCGATGTAATTTATTGTCAATTTTCATTATTTCATGACTGGGGTTAAAAAGGTTTGACATATAGAAACTTTAGGAGTTATGAATCGGTGGTGTAACATATCTTTACATAATTCTAAAAGAAAATTTCCATATGAGGTCCAACACTATTAATCAGAAAATAATTGTTTGATCAACAACTAAACTTACTTTGCAATACATTTCAATTCAAATTTGATTAATTGACTGTAATATTCCATAATGACGTATATTAAAACTCACCTTCCCATACTCTTAGGTGTCAGTGGTCCCATACTTCTTACTTTTGCTTTTAATACACGCTCTAATGTATTAGCATCCTGATAGACCAGTGACTTCTCTTCATTATAATGTCTAGCATTATTAAACATCAGTTCAAAATCACTAAGTAACGCCTGCTCAGTTAAATACTGAAAAAAAATATTAAAGTTAAACTTAATATCTAGGTAATACTAAAAACTCCTTGATTTTCACCAGTTTTCATGACACCCCAATTAAAGTTTCAGTTTTTTTGTTTCACTAATTTTCTTCATTTCCTTTCTCGATCTTAATAAGAAAAGAACCAAACCTTTTCAGCTTTAATTTTGGCTTCAATCATAGAGAGATCTATAGGTTCCATAATAACCTGATAATAATCAGGATAATCTTTCTTTGATGGTAAAACATGAAAAATTCCACGCAATAATCTTCCATTAAAATCCTGAAAATAATGTTTATAAATAATTATAAGAAACAGCAAACGATGGGCCGAAACATTATAAGACAACAGAAAGGAAACTAAATAACAGATTAGAGTCATTTTCATTGAAACTGAATTCAGTTACTTGGTTAGTGAGA